CGTAGACCCACCATCTCTGTCTTCCTAGATCTGAAAGCGGCTCTCGACTCAGTCGACCGCTCTAAACTCTGGTGCTGCCTTTCTCTGAAAAGTGTGCCCGAGAAGTTAATTTCAATATTACGATCGCTTTATACTCATAGTCGAAGTCGAGTCCGGGCTTACGGTACTTTTTCTCCCGAGTTCACCACGGAAAGTGGTGTTCGTCAGGGTTGCCCTCTTTTACCTTTTCTATTCAACTTTTTTATAGATCTGATTATGGAAACAGCCCTATCCTCGTGCGAGGAAAGTGGCATCTATTTACTCCCAGGTGGCAAGCTGTCTGATCTGGAATACGCAGACGACATTGTGCTTCTAATTCAAGTTCCAAGTAAGTTGCAAGGTTTTCTGGATAACTTGAATGCCAGTGTAACCATATTCGGTATGCGTTTTGCACCTTCAAAGTGTAAAATGGTATTACAAGACTGGGTCGGTCCAGCACCGAGCCTCACTCTAACTGGGGAAGTAATAGAGCAGGTGGACAAGTGTTTTTATTTGGGCAGCTAAATCTCACCCGGTGGACGCATCACGCATGAAGTGTCAGCTCGCATACAGAAGGCTCCGTTGGCATTTGCCAACTTGAGACATCTGAGGCACCGTCGCGACATCCGGCTGTCTGTGAAGGATCGAGTGTATGCCGCGACAGTTCGGCTAGTCCTGCGGTACAGTTCAGAAACTTGGCCATTAAGAAAACAGGATAAAGGTAGACTGTCGGTGTTTAAACACCGCTGTCTACGCAGCATTGTACGAATCTGGTGGGGTAGCCAGATGAGCAATGCTGAGACGAGGCGCAGAGTTTTGGGTATCCGCGGTCGCCCACTGGAGCAAGTGGTCGACCTCCATAGATTACTTTGGTTGGGACATGTGTTACGCATGTCACCAGATAGGTGATATGGCTTTGTGTCGCAACCAGTGGCGCTCGTACATCCCAATTTCTTTGCAACCCTAGTCTACTGAAATTCGCCGAAGCAGACACCGAGTGGAAAAAAAACCAAGGGTGGTCAAGCTAAGACCTGGCACGAGGGTATGAAAATCCTAACCAGGAGACTGGGTCACATAGCTCCTGTTAGGCTCCCTGGCTGGGGACCTCGAGATGATTGTAACCGATGGTTAGAGACACTGAGTGATATGGCTGGGTGTCGTAAACAGTGGCGTTCGTGCATCTCCTCAATTTATTTGCAACCTTAGACCACTAAACTTCTCCATTTTCTTTCGAACCCAATTTCAAGTTTCCCTTCTCCTATTCTTCATCCAAATTGAAGACTGAAAACATCATTCTGTCTGTCTATTATACACATTATTAGTAAAGTTTTAGTAGTCCGGTGGTAAAGCAGAAATGGTAATTTACCAGTGGCTAGATTGCATCCAGCCTGATTTAAAATGCCACAGACGATTAGCTTCAGATATTTTAGTAATCATTTTGCTTCAGATAAGCGCCAGAACATTCCGCGCATTCTAAACCATGTACATAGTGTTCAAATTGGCCTACGAAAATAAATCATAGGACTTTGCACAATGTTAACTAAATTTTGGAAACTGGCAAGCAAATGATCAAAATCAGACTGCGATCGAATTTTTTTTTTCAAATAACTCTTACCTGAGGTTCATCATAAACCAAATGGTCTCCGTATTCGCGAGCCTTCTTGCGTTTTGACCTAGTGCGCCCTTCGTTCTGACCGGTACGGCGATTCGGATCTTCTCGTGAACTTGATTGTCGACCTGATAACCGTCTGGTTTCACTTGTACCCTCCTCACGAGTTTTGGATCGAGTACGTCGGTCATCCTTTGCACGTCGTGGAGAACCGAGTTTACGTTGATAGATCCCCGGTTCCCACAGAAATAGATAAGGAGGCTGGCCTGCATTGCGTTCCTTGTTTTGTTGCCTTCGATGATATCGTCGTGCTTTTGCCACTTTAACTTGACTTTGTTTGTCCATCTGACAATCGGGCATGCAAAGCTATGGCCATTAGCACCTCGGTATAGCCAGCATTGCCAAAGTGGTGTACAAACTGATTTGTTTGTAATAGTACAAAATTTAGATAGATTTCAGTTGGTAGTCTATCTACTTTACCCAAATAAATATACCTGATCTAGCAACATTTGCTCTAAATGATTGGATAATAATTACCAAACTGAATATTCAAAAGTCTATTTGTTCCGTTGCTAGTTTGGAGGTAAGTTCTATCGGTATTTCTATGGGTCATTTTTGTTTCACTTGTGCACAAAATAAGAGACTCTAGATACAGTAGAGCTTTATTCTATTGAGTGCATCTCCAGATCAACGACAGGAAAAAGGCCGATAACTCGCGTTTAAACGTGAGTAAAGTCGATTTAGTTTCACTGAATAAGCGGTCGCGGGACGATCAGCAGCAATGCTTGGGGATGTGTTAGATTTACCTCTTGATAAGGGTTCTCTACACAAAACACCGAATGTATCTTTTGACAGCGCCGTGACGGGGCGAGTGTAACCCGCGACTGAAGATGGCCATTGTCCATTGTCGGGTTCTACCTGCCTGACGAGGTTCTCCAGAAGAGACGACTGAACTAACTGCCCGTGTGCTTCGGTGGACCTAAAAGCACGAAGCAGGGACGGTTAGACTGCGACAAGCTGTCTCAACCAGCATGCCAAACTGTCTTTCAGAAAGTGCTAACTGAAAAGCTAGAAGCAATCCTGCCTGATAACGTCAACTAGCAGTAGTCGCTTTTAAAGAATGCTCCGCATTCTGTTGGATTTGTAAGCTTTATTCCGAAACGTGGTTTCATGCTTGTTCAAAATTGGCAGGAGCAGTGCCTGTACTCATCTTCTATGGCGATCAACTGGAAGTGATTGAGAGCATTAAGAACATCGGAAGTGTTAGGGAGGAGATCACATCACGAATATCAAAAGCTAGAGCAACTTTCACAACCAGCGACACCTGTGACACCCCCATGACATCTGTTTATCTTTTAAGGGAAGGGTGTAAATCTCCGCGGGTCTTATTATTCTGATTTACGGTTGCAAGACCCGCCCCTTTCCAAGCTGAGGATGCTAATCGACTTTCTGCACTCGACCACTGATGCCTGTGAAGCACTGATCTTGTTTGGTGGGAACATTTTGTGAGCAATAACGAATTTCGTCATCGTGTGCTGGGGACCGACAGTTGTTCTCTAAAAGAAGTAATCGCTCTACACCGCCTCCGATGGCTTGATCACATTTTGCTTATGCCTTCCTCTTTGTGCTCTCTCAGCATCCGCTAGGCAAGGCCGGAGGAAGCACCACGACGGTCAGACAAGGACCAAGCGTAGAGGTATGCTGAAGTTAGCCTCAGCATTGGCTTCGGTTGGTACATCCCGCTTTCCAGGCTGGAGCCTAAGGGATGAGGATTGTCGATGGTTAGAGACGCTGAGGGATACGGCTCAGAATTGAAGTCAGTGGCGCGACTGTTGTGCGACTTTTTATCGAAACCCCCTTATAAATAAAACCTTGCAGAATTTGTATGATGAAACTAACAAAAATTAATTCATTCTCACTGTTCCCTGTTTTCCCTATTTTCCTTTCACCAAACTGTACCCCTTTCTACCTTTTTATCATTGTTGGTGCGTTGGCACCACGCTGTTCATCAAGCCAGCCTGACATATATCTATATATTTACAACAAATAACCATCCACCGTTGTGTGGAGGCTGTGGTTGTTGTCCTCTGGCTGCCCGTTTAGATAAACATGTGGAAGGAAGATTGGAATGTTCAGAAAAGGTTTGAAGAGAAAATATAAAATTCTCAAATACTAAGGTTAAAAACAGACTGATAAAATGGATGAGCCTCGCTGTTTGCGAAACCCAGCCATATCGTTCAGTGGCTCTAGCCACTGCTTACCATGAACCCAAGGTCCCATCCAGGGAACCGAACGTGACCTATAGGATCGAGTCTCTGAGACTTAACAAATTATTGGTCTTGTAATTACTTGTGTGAAGACCAACACGGAGTACTAGACAACTCTTTTGTTCTTGTTGTGACGCATCAGCGAAACGCGCTGTCGGAATACGTAGAATAATTAACCATTCGAAGCATCTGATGTAAACCGGTAAATTTTGTTTTAATTCGTTAGGTTTGGCGAAAGAAAGGCAATCGATTCACTAAAAAACTCATACAGTTTCACATTCTGGGCCTGAACTATCTTTTATGCATGTTATTCATTAAAATTACTCTTTTACATTATCTGTCATATTAATTGCTTCACTTCATTAGCTTAATAAATAAAATGATTTACTCAAACAACCATCATACTTATTTCAAAGACCACGTTTGTTAGTATTCTATATTGTGTGTTGGATACCGGTCGTCATTTACCATGAGAGGAAATCATTTCAAAGCGTTCTCCGATAGTTGGAACATATTTCACTTGCATATATATATATATATAAAGGATACAAAATTTGAGAAAGAGCAAACTGAGGAAAGCATCGAAGAAAATGAAAAATCAACGTGCCTCACGATCACAATTCATTTCAAACGATTACTCAAAACCGTTTTGAAAATTTCGATAGACATTCCAATGCACACATTGACATCGCAGAACCGAATTATATTCATCTAACAATCTTATTGAGTTCGGTGATAAAAGAAATCAATTAAAAAGGAACAATGAACGGAAACAATAAACTAAATCTCACCAAAGCTAGTTCTGGCTCATCAATGTCTGAAACGGCCACAACCAACGAACCACCGTCCAAAGGAACCTAGGATAACACAGTTGTTGATTTCATTCATAAAACAACAAATATCCGGAATATCATCAATAATCCACATGAGGTTAGAAGCACAAGTCAGAGTTCCAGGTAGAAAGCGGCAGTAATTGTAAATTAACAAGCAAATCCGATGGTGTGCGTCGGTTCTGTTTAAATGGTAGACAAAAGCTTTCTGTCTGTTGACTACCATATTTTTGGCTGAAGCAGGTCCCAGTTATTATTATATTTTCACACTCTCATCTCTACGGACTTATTAGCACGCACGAGACTGACTTTAAAAGAGCCGTTATAGAGGAATGGACTTGTTTACATTTTTAATAGCATAGCATTTAATCAAAGACATTCATTATAAACAAGGCATCAGCAGCATAATCAAACAGCTAGTTAGTTAGTTAGCTAGCTAGTTTCACTGCAAATTTCACGCTGTGTACAAACAATATGAATGGGTAAGGTAAATAGAAATCAGGCCTCCTTTTGTGAGATGGGCACAGCAAGTGAATTCACTGGAGTCTACCAAATTCTAAGGGTACTTGTCATGGCAATCAACTTATATGCTATCTGGTGTATTCAGTATACCTCTGCAAGTTGTATGGGTGATTCAAATGCGAAAATATTAATGCTATCAATCTGGGCTTTCTGTTAAGTCTGTCAGACCTTTTTCATGAGAGCTCTTGAACCTCACATGGTTTTTCCCACTCTGGAGTGGTTTGAAAACATTATACTGTGCGGTAAATGATCGCTTGACATATTGTAACAGTGCTACGTATTTTTTCTAATATTAGTGGCTGAAAAATAACCAGTGGATTAAATAGGTTTTAGCCTTTTCTGTCACGGGGTCCTTTAATTAATGAAGACCTATAAGGAATAAATTTTCTATCAAATGACAAATTCTGTACATATATCACCAAAAATGTGTCAGTCTATGCATTGCGCTCTAAAGCAAACAAATTCTGTATATTTTACCGTTCACACTGTTGTGTAAGCTAGTTAGTAATTTACACAAATCAGGGATTGTATAAAAGCCGGTTTTGACTTACCCCACTGTCGGTCGATGTTCCCGGAATAGGTACGAGTTTGGATGACGATGCTTGTGTGGGTGGAACTAGTTGCATTAATATGTTTTCTTCTGCACGTTTCTGACGTTCCTCCTGCGAGACACCAGAAAACCACAAGGATGAAAGAATTTTGAACGGCAATCTAAGGACTGAGGTCATCTGCTGCTGTGAAACAGCAACAGCCGCCACACGACAATTCACGGTTAATGGTTGTAAAAGTGGAAAACCCAAAATGTTCCCGGTTTGCGATTAATCAATGCCCGGTGTCATTGTCAGATAGTTGAGTATATCAAACTATCAACCTTAGAAAACTGATTGGCTTTAACGGACGGTTTCATTGATGTGTCAAATACAACAGGTCAATAAATTTTAGTGGCGGATTTATAACGTTCATTTTTCAAACAAGATATGAAAAATGTAAGGATACAGAAATGCTCCCCACAGTAGCCTAATCTGAATCCACCACTGCATTACACGTTATGTGGCCCCGATGTAACCATCACATGTTACATCAGATACATGCCACTCCGACTGGCTGCACTCAAGCTTCTCTGAAAAAGGGACGTTAGCTATACTACTTTTGTAGGTCCAGGGACAAGGCATTTATCAAAAGTAAGCAGGCAGGAATCGTATGCGTAGTTTGCAGCCATAAGTTTCAGTGCTTGGATCGTCCATTCCCAAAACCAAACCATAAATCCCTGGGTCAACCGCCCTGTACTCTGGAGCTGCTTTTCCCTGAATGACGTGTTCGCGAAATTTATCATAATATTCTCATCCCTATCAACTGACATCAGAAGCCGAAGCCTGAGTTCATCAAAGAAAGCGATGTTTGTGAGTTTTCCCTCTCCTTTTTTATATTACTTCGTTATAGATTTGAATCTGGAAACAGTCCTGGCCTCATGCAAGAGTAATGGCATCGATTTGCTCCCAGGTGGCAGACTGTATGTATGCGGAGGACATTGTACTTTTCAGTAAAGATCCCCGTATGTTGTAAGATTTTCTGGATTATTCGAGTGTTAGCGTATTTATATTAGGCATGTGTTTGGCACCTTCAAAGTATAAAATGTTGCTACCGGACTGGGTTGATCTAGCTTCCAAACTCACTCTAACTGGGGAATTATTGGAGAAAGTGGACAAATTTTACCAGTTGAGCAGCTGCATCTCACCCGACTGACGCAGCATTGATGAAGTGTCAACGCACAAGTAGTATGTTCCATTGGCATTTGCCAACTTGAGACATGTAAAGCATCGTCTCTATATCTAGCTGTTGTAGAAGGGTCGAGTATAGCTGAAGAATTTTGGCCAGTGCTTTTTCGTGGATCAAATCACTGACCTCTTTCTTTTTTATAAAGATTACCGCGATTTTTTTACGCACAGTCTAACTTTCAGGCGAGTGTGAAAATTGAAATTAAAAATTAACTTTTATGGTGCAAAGAATGGGCTATTACAAGAAGTCGATTAAGATAGGCTGACGGTGTCTGAACACTGCTGCTTACGCCTCAGTGCAAGAGTTTTGTGGGGATTTCAAAAAGATAATACTGAGGTTAGAAGCAGAAGTTTGGGTAATTATGGCTGCCTACTACAGAAAGTGTTCGACTTCTACAGATAACTTTGGTTGGGACATGTAATATGCATGTTACCAAACAGACTGCCACGAGGGAAAATGTTTGCCGAGACATAATGAGTGGAAAAGGTAAAGGGTGATCGAATTAAGACCGGTTGGAGAGTGTAAAACCCTGAACCATAAACGTGCTCACACAAATCGCATTGGGCTCTCGGGATGCGTAAATCGAGATCAGCGTAGTCGATGATTAGAAACACCAAGTAGTATCGCTGAGGATCACAAGCAGCGGCACCTCAACATTCTAATCTATGCTCTGATCCTTTATCCAAATGGGAACCCAAAAGTCAGTAACCAAAACCGCCAAATGAAAGTGCGTGTAATGACTGTTAGAACAGATTGATCAGCGAGGCCTTTAAAATTCAGTTGAGCTACATATGTGCTTCAGTAGATAATTTGTCAACGTTCATGTCGCAAAGTAGATTTAATTTTTTTAACCAAAACATTTTCCATCGCTTCTGTGATCACTAACGCTCCGGTGATCGTTAAAAATTTAAAGCCTTTTATATTATCGTTCAATATTGGCATTCTTCTTCAGTTCAGACTGCATGTTGGGTACAGGTACAAAAAACGTAGACCGTTATGGTCAGGTATCCTCAAAACATATCACGTAGGTTGGTAAGCGGCGTTAAGCTATGCTATACCCGGTATTTTCTCGTCATATGTACGATCACTCGTCGGAAGAATGGGCGACTTCAATCAATTGATAAAACTGAAACAATATCCATGCATCGAGGATCATTGCATTCTAACATTAACGATCCCCTGAGAGAAAACTCGACTTCTTTATGCAACAGTTGGATAGAATCTGTATACTACAAAATCACAGTGGTGATTTAATAAAGTATGCTAAATCTTCTTGGATTGAATACACAAAAATGACTTCCATTTAAAATGTAGGACACACCTCATGTATTCTAGTCGAATTCATTCTTGATAGCATCAAACATTTGAATCTCACCCTCCAGTTTAAATTCTGCTGCATAGGCTTTCGCTCATTTATTGATATCACAACTTTCTAACTACATCCACTTCACTTTGTTTCTGTACAACCATCAACCATGCACCTTCATGTGCCGGTTTTGGTTGCTGTCTTTTGGCTGCCCATTTGGATGAAGAATAGGAGAAGGGAAACTTGAAATTGGGTTCGAAAGAAAATGGAGAAGTTTAGTGGTCTAAGGTTGCAAATAAATTGGAGATGCACGAACGCCACTGTTTACGACACCCAGCCATATCGCTCAGTGTCTCTAACCAGCGGTTACGATGCACGAACGCCACTGTTTACGACACCCAGCCATATCGCTCAGTGTCTCTAACCATCGACGATTCGAACAGAAAATGGAGAAGTTCAGTGGACTAAGGTTGGAAAGAAATTGAGAAGATGCAACCACTGTTTACGACACCCAGCCATATCACTCAGTGTCTCTAACCATCGGTTACAATCATCTCGAGGTCCCCAGCCAGGGAGCCTAACAGGAGCTATGTGACCCAGTCTCCTGGTTAGGATTTTCATACCCTCGTGCCAGGTCTTAGCTTGACCACCCTTGGTTTTTTTTCCACTCGGTGTCTGCTTCGGCGAATTTCAGTAGACTAGGGTTGCAAAGAAATTGGGATGTACGAGCGCCACTGTTTACGACATTTAGCTATATCACTCAGCGTCTCTAACCACTGGTTACGATAATCCCGATTTCCCCATCCAGGGAGCTAACGGGACCAATATGACCGAGTCTCCTATTTAGTGTTTTCAAACCCTTGTTCCAGATTTTATTTTGACCAATCTAGGCATTTCTCCAAACACTGCCCGTCTCGGCAAACATAGCACGCCGTGGCAACCAATTTGGTGACATAAACAACACCTACACCAACCAACGTAGTCTGTAAACTTCTATCATTCGCTCTAGTGAGCGACCGCGGTTAACTAAAACTCTGCGCCTAACCTCAGCATTGCTTATCCAGTTTCCCCAGCACACTCATGCAATGTTGCGCAGACAGCGGTGTTCAAACATCGACAGTCTACCTTTATCTTACTTTCTTAATGGCAAAGTCTCTGCACCGTAAAGCAGAACTGTTGCAGCATATATCTAACCCTTTACTGACGACCGGATGTCGCGGCTGCGACACAGATGTCTCCAGTTGGCAAGTACAAATAGTGCAAGTGCAAGTGGGCGTGCCGACACTTCATGCGTGATGTGTCCATCGGGTGAGATGTAGCTGCTCAAATAACAAAACTTATCCACTTGCTCTATTACTTCCCCAGTCTTGAAGAAACATTTTAAAATTTGAAGGTGCAAAACGTGTACTGAACATGGCTACGCTGGCACCCAGGCTATCCAAAAAAGCTTGCAACTTACCTGGAACTTTAATTAGCAGTAAAATATTGTCTACATACTACAGGTCAGACAGTATGCCATCTGAGAGCAAACCGATGACACTATCCTGGCACGAGGATAGGGCTATTTCCATAATCAAATCTACAACATAGTTAAATAGAAGAGAGAGGCTAACCTTGACAACCAGCGCTTTCTGTGATGAACTCGGGCAAAAAAGTGAGGTAAGCTCGAACTCGGCTTTTGTTATTAGCATAAAAGATTTGATTGCACTGAATACTCCTTTTAATCGTTAGTGAAGACTTTACTCACGCCGATGTCCATTTTTTGACTGTCTCTCTTTACAACCTCGTAAACTTCCTCACAAGGGGAAACATGCAGCATGGTCTGCTGTTTTCGAACAACCCTGATCTATTTGCTGTCCGGAATGGGGTCGAGCCCCTCTGATAAACTCCGATCATTATACCGTAAGTATTTTGCTATAAATCTACTCGACACGTACATCCAGCCGGAAAAGTGCAAGTTGGTACATTTAGCATCACAAAGAGATATGGTCTCTCGTACAAACTTCGATCACCTCTATGACCCAAGTACCTGGGTTGAGTGTGAATACCTCACTGATGATTCGAACTTCTTACTTGATATCTGCTGTCCCATGACCCCTATCTATATCAATCCAACCAGATCTTCTTCCCCAAGTTTGAAATTCCTAAAAACATTAACAAAACGGGCATGCAAAATTAGCTATCCAGCTTTAGCCAAAAAATATCAATGCAGATCAAAACTGATATGCAAACTCTGAAACTCTACTTGGCGATCAAAGTTGCACTCAAAACTGGAGTGCAATGAGAAAAACTCTGTGGCTCACAAGATAAGCAACGGGGGCCTCAGCTCACAGCAGTTAAATTCGATGGCATATTTCTTTCATATAAATCCAAACGGAAGTGTCGGAATTATACCTCCAATCAGTTGAATTTCATGAAGTTTCGCATGTCAATACTAATCAGTTCTCAAAATATCCAAAACTTCCGGTCACGATGGTCTGTCCCTTCATTCTCAGGGAATAGGCCTTTTATCTGACCAAACCCCTTGTCCTTGTTTCCAACCCTTGTTTCAAGGAGTGAAACGTTGCCGACTGTTGGAGCCCTATGTGTAACACACCAATCCCCAAAAATGGACCAATAGCCTGCACTTCAGTATAGATAAAGATTTTCGACTAGTTTATGCTTAACCTTATTCCTAACACTGAGCAATCAGATCACAGACAATGCTCTTAGCGCAAACAACGTTCTACTTAACACGCAACTGTCTAATTGGTAAATTCATTTTGGAAATCCCTAGACTGATATGGCACAGCACACCGTATGTGTTACCTCGACTACAGCAACGCCTTTAATTGTGTTGACCGAAAGAGAATACTGTCTATACTCCAGGATCCTGCGTTGATCACTGATAGTCTGTCTTTTTCCAAGATAATTCTACTGTTAGAAAACACTTTATCAAGTATCACGGAAAAATTTCTTATTCGCTACCGGTCGATTCCGGGGTGCGCCAAGGAGTAATGTTGTCTCCTTTTCTTTTCGTTTTCTATATTTAAGACCTACCCACCAACCCAAATAATCTTATCAAGTATGCTGATTATGTCACCATTGGTTCTAAATTCCAAGGTATTTTTTTCTCACAGCTTCAAGTCAATTTATCTGCCTAAACACAATTTTCGTATTATAAGTACATCTATCAACGCCTCTGAATGTAGGGATTTCATCTTCTCACTAGCAAAAGGGGAACCGCAATATTCATTTGAAATAAACTGCTCTGTACTCTATGTTGGCACCCGGAATGTTATCCCAGTATGTATTTTACAACACCATGATTTTACAATCTTCTAGGATCTCATGTATACTTTACATTTGAACTGCCCTTTAAGAATAACCAACGATTGTGTTTCTTTGTTTCCCGCATGCAACTTTGAACAATCCTTTGTATGGATTTACCCGTTTTGTGTGCGGTGAAACAAAGAAAAGTTTTACTCTTTTATCTTAACCCACTGTGATTTTTTTCACTCTGTTCTGTATCCGAATACCCCCTTACTCTGTTTTTATGTTTGTTGCGTTGGCACCATGATTTTTCGTAACCTGGGAATAAACATCTAGATATGTATTTTATTGTGTTGTCCTTCACCCTCTTTACTGTCAGTTAGAGTTAGAGAGTTAGAGATTTTGCAGTGCTACGCCGATCTTACTTACTTTTTACTTTTGATCGATTAACTCCTCAACCTGGCCGTTTGATCGTGTCGTAGAGCCAAACTACTTGAAAACTTCGGTTGATTCAACAAGCTCCCCGTTAATCGAGAGGGGTTGTGTTATGGCAGAAGTTTCGGTCGAAGATGTCTTTGTTTTCGACGTGTTGATCTCTAGCCCGATGGACTGGGCAAACCAAGTTCTACGATTGACGACAGACTGGAGGTTGTCCGTGGTGTTTTCAAGTACAACGACATCATCTGCAAACTCGAGGTCCGCTTCCATGTACCTGGGCCAAGCTGCACTCCAGGGTAATCGCGTTATCCAATATGCGGTGTAATTGAATAACATAGACGATAGGGGAGAACCTTGCCTAACTCCAGAGCTTGGGGTAAACTCAGCGGATTCTTCTCCATAGGTATGGACGCGTGCCCGAGTTCCTGAGTAGTATGACTTTAAAAGCCTGATGAAATTCTCAGGCATCCCGTCGGACCGTAATATGCCCCACAAGGATTATCTATCGACAGAGTCAAACGCAGCGCGGAAGTCAATGAAAAATGCAGTGGTAAGCTGTTGGTACTTGCAGCTGTGTTCCAGAATCCTACGGAGAGTGGAGATTTGTTCAACTCAGCCGCTTCCGCGGTGAAACCCCCTTGGTTCGGGCGAGTGCGGGTTTTTCTGACGACTGCAAAATGACCAAGCAGTATCACTGCAAACAATTTGGCTGCAATATCAATGAGGCTAATACCCTTGTAATTTTCACATCTTGATATGTCACCCTTTTTTGGAACTGGGACTAAAATTGAAGCCGTCCAGTCTTTTTGAAAACCTGCTCTTTCCAAAATGGTATGGAAAAGAGAGGTCAGCGGATCAATCAGAGTTGGTAAGCAAGCTTTGAATAACTCTGGTGGTATCCCGTCTTCTCCAGGAGCCTTCCTGTTTTTCAGAGAAGGGACTGCATCGATGATTTCTGACGCGCTAGGCGAGTCGCAACTGATGTCGTAAGTCTCCGAACTGCTTGACAGCTGTAGAGAGCCAGCTTAGTTTAATGGCCGGTTGGGCAGCCCGTCGAAGTGTTCAACCCACCTTTGCATCTTTTGCTCAGTTCCCTGATTTAGTTGGCCTTTTGTGCTGTGCAACAGGGGTTCCGATGTCTGCCTCTTCCCTTCTGCGACACGAATTAGACGGAATAGCTTATCAAAGTCCGGTGAGACGGTTGCAGCCTCCATACTGTCTGCAATCGCCTTCCAGCATTGTTTACGATCAGTCTTGGCGGAGCTTGTGGCTTGGCGACGGAGAATACGAAATTCATGAGAACTGATCAGCCGCGCCTCTCTTGCCTCTGCGGACAACTGCAGTGTACGCTCGGAGATCCAGTCTCTCTTGTGGCGAAGAATCTCACCTAACTGCCCAAGCGCCGCTTCTCTGATAGACGTTTTCAGAGTAGACCACTGTGCGTGGACAGTTGAGTCATCAAAGAAGGTTTCGGCTATGTTCGAAGCGGATGCGTCAGCAACGCCTGCCTTCTCTCAGGTCTTTTCAAGAGCGCGAGGTTCAATTTGTCCGAGAGATGGATCTTCCGGAGAGTAGTCAGGTGGATCTTGAAGCGGGCACGTCCCAAAATATAATCAATCTATTGTGCCATTTGACCATCATTTGATTGACACGTAAGCTGGTATTTTCTAGGGTGCTGAAAACGAGTGTTGGCCACGACCAGCCGGTTAAGGTCAGCAAATGTGACTAGGCGTTCGCCATTTTCACAACGTTGATCAAGCCCGAACTTTCCCAGAATATGCCGAGTATGTTCGTGTGATGGACCAGTGGGTGCATTCCAGTCTCCTGCGATAACGAGAATGTCGCGTCTCGGACTGCGGTTCACTGAGTCTTGAACTTGGTTGTAGAAGTCTTCTTTGATGGGCTTTTCCGCATGCACCATTGGAGCATATACAGCGATGACAGTCAGGTTAAACGGCTTTCCCCTAAAGCGCGCTATGGCAATCCTGGGAGAGATTGGTTCCCAGGAGATCATGCCATTGTTGGCCTGGCTGCTCACGGCGATTTCTACCCTGTGCAAACCGGAGTTTTCAGTTTGGCCTCTGTGGTATAACCGGTAGGTTGCGTTGCTATGTGGTAAGTCGATTAGTTTTGTGCCACAGTTGGTTAGTCGGACTTCGGACAGACAACAGATGTCTACCTTAAAGTCATACGGTGATCGCATTGTGATACACAGGCTTCTTGTGTCTAGCAATGTTCTAACATTCCAGTAGGCTACATGGATACTGGATCTGGTGCATAGATGACTTAGGTTCCCAGTTTGCTCATGTATCACCCCAGTCACTGGATGAGCGCAGGGCGCGTCGCTTCCCGGGAATGCTGTAGCACGAACGTGATATACCATATAATACGATCCATGAAGAAACTTGGGAGTGAGGTAAGCCGATCTGTTAAAACCGTTTAACACACAAACAGTATTCCCTAGTTACATTTGTTCAACTTTATCGCCGATAAACATTTTACCTTTTGTGAAACATTCTGCACTATTCTATCCGACACTGTCCACCCATTACACACATACTGAGCAATGCTTATGCGCTTCCGTAACCAGGTTCATTATAAACTTGTGTACACTCAAACCACTGCCTGGTTGTGATTCTATGTCTTTCCAAATTTCTGTAGCAGAAAGTATCCACCAGAGACAACTTTTTAATAAACCAGAGGTAGATGATATCTATTTTCAAACTATCGCGCTACCTTCTTCGCTTTAATTTACTACGATGTACTTTACTGCCTCTGTTTGCCTGTATGGTGATAACCCTAGTATGCAGTGTGAGCGGAAAATCCATCAAATGGGATGAAGAAGGCAATTTGCGGTTTGAAAAATTAATTGTAAACTATGGAGTTCTTTCATTCCACTTTTTATTCCTTTGAGGTGTGAATATAATCGAAGCTTCGCTATTACACACCTGATGGGAGTAGGGTACTCCGTCAGGAGCATTTCAGTTTTCTTCTCTGGAGCAGACTAAATCCCTTAACATATTAGAAATTTGGATGCAGATAAGAAAACTATGTTTCGAATTCCGATGGTTTACAGATCGCAGTGCCTACGGTGTGCAAAGACCAACAAAACACTACCAGTTACATGGAGAATACATGCGATTTAACTTTTGAAGATCCAACTACGGCCTTTCCATTGCCCTTCTTCCTGCCTATGCCGTTAGCTTTACTCCACTTGCACTCGTTTAAACAAGGTACTGAACCTATCTGATTCCTTTTAAATGTTGTGTGGTCTCAGTTTAAAAATTGATTCAAATAAAAGCATTTACAAATTTATGTTAATTTACATTCTACTTGTAAACTCCCTAAATCAGCTGAGACCAAATGGCTTCTGTTTTGCTTGTACACTGGAAACACTTTGCAAAACGATCACTTATATAGTAAGTCAAAAATCAAGTATCATCATATAAGGGTCAGAGAATCAACAACGCAGGGCTTTGTTATTATCTGCATGCATTTTCGACTTTTAGAAACTTAAAATTTAGTACATCGTACATATGTATTAGTAGAAAAGTAATAAAAATCAGTTGATATAAATAGAAAACTAAAAGAGATATGCTTTTCAATAACCTTATCGCTTCAGTAATTTTTTTAATACGGATCCGTGTGTTGCACAAGCTTCAATTTAGAAACCTTGTTTATTTTAAAATGTACCAAAAGTGGTAAAAAAAGTCATTTCTATAGAAAATATTCTTTCACTTACTCTGATACGCTTTACACGATGTAGTTTACATATATCCTCCAAAGTTCTTCGTATGTTTCCCTGTCGGATACGCTCGGCCTCTAATGAACGTTCCACTATTGCGTGAGCAATGATTTCCAACAGCGCACGTTTTTGACTCTCCTTGCTCTTTATTTCGCGATATTCTGCTTCCGGTCTGATTTCGCCATCTTCTGTCACCTGAAAAAAAATGATTTAGGAAGCCACAAATGTTATGCATACGTTAACAAGAACTACCGATGAAAATTTGAAGACTTTAATGAGCCTGATTAGGCTAAATTAATTTCGAAAAAGAAATGAAGGTCGTCTGTCCAAATCAAGTTATGTATAATCAACGAACTGGCTCTTACGTACGCTTGGTAAACTTGAGATGTATAGTCTATCAAATCTCTATTTTAAATTCTTCATACCTGTTCTTCACTTCATCGGGTAATCTCGATTATGTTTCCGCAACAACTGTAAATGAAGCATTGTGATACGATAGACAGCCACATGCAATATATCCTAAACGAACTTAATGTGTTTCAACATCCAATACTCCACTAAGACGCGGTCTGTCTTTACTATTTCGTAACGCCGGTATTTCACTCAGGGGAGTTGGCTAAAAACCCTGATTCCAAACCAAACAAGAAGAGGCGTACTAACCACACATACCTTCACCTAACCGGTTGTGATGGTAGTAATAGTGATGGGTGTGGTGGTCACTAACTCAATTGGGCATCGAGGTGTATTGGACACCTTGGACGTTTGACTGTGTCCAAAGGGAGTATGATCCGATGAACTGGATACCGGTTCCCAATGGATTGTGGTTCTCATACATCGACTTGCTGCCTTGATGGTCAGGCTTTAGCTAGCCGAAGGCTCGAATTACGAAATCTTTGAAAAAATTCACCTGCCTGTTGTTAGGGTCCCAGATGTGCCGTGTTAGGGATGCGTTTTGCACCTTCAAGGAGTAAGAGCCTTTTCACGATTGGGTTGATTTTCTTCCAGAATTCACTGTGACTACAAAAGCGAAAGAAAATACTCAACAACGCAACACTTGGGCAACTAAAGCTCGTAGGGTAGAAGAACCAATAAGGAAGCTTCGCGACGCGTACATGATGCTTGTGTATTATTTACTATCAACGGCATCTGTTTGTCTGTCAGCGCGTTCTCTCCGATAGCCCCACTATCAAGTGCAAGCATATGGTCGGAACGTGCAGAAGATAAAAGAGAATTGTTATTTCCTAAGCAGCCTTTTTAGCTCCATTCTTGAAAGTTGACTGTATCTTCACACTCAATAAACAAAAAAGATACAAGATATTATTAACAAAAGAACCTGGGGAAACAGTTGACATAGCGATGATGCATATTACATTAAAACCATGAAAACAACCTACAAGTTTGGATAGAAATATTCATCATGTAATGTAATGGTGTCGCACATTTGAAAGGCCTTGGAGGCACTATATTCCCTTTTCATGTTATGAATAGTTCTAAGCATATCTAGTAAGTTGGTGACTACTCAAACTCTGAATTGCGAATTTTTTATCGCATAAGTGACCACCGGATCACCGCTGAAGGTAGAAGAAAAGAGGTGAATGGAGATTACAGTATATTTTAGAGTAATGTGTGACACCTCAATATTGCACGAAAAATCCTTTTCTAATCACTTATTCTGCCACTTGTCCAATACTGTCGAACGTTCGCTTGGATTGAGCATATTCTAAATTCTCCACTTGAGTTAGTTCGAAAATGGTCATAGCGAGGTCTATTTCGACTCTGTCGCGGCTGACATTGTCCGAGGCGGTTACTATGATTGTGTGGAAGTTTATTTAGATTCACCTTTAGGTCTAGTATTTGAAATTTTATCAGCATTCAACGCAAAAATACTTCCAGTATTTAGATTTTAGGCTAACGACTGAGTAACAAACAGAATTTTGAATACTACCGGGTTTTAGATAATTGTCATCAATTTTCCCTTTGTGCATTTGATGAACTTGCCATTACATTGTCTTAGAGTTGAATGAATGTTGTGCATTACATCTTACACATGCTTTTGCATGTGTTGCACTCCGTGTAGTATTCACCGAGTAGGGCAGTTTTTATAAAATACCCAAAAGCAGCAGGTTCTGAAGGAATAAAACAAGATTCAGTGGATGAAAATAGCAGTGCTATCTGTGTGACCTCTTCGCTCAATTGGTAGGGTGTGAGCTCTACAACCAGTTCTAGAGTCTTTTAGACCCCAACCTGGAAGACGGGAGACATCGATTCTGCCTAATCGCTCTGTGCATTTCCTCATGCCTCGCTTTCACGTCATCTGTTGACCACCACGCGGCAGGCGATGGCTGGAAATGCGCAATACGTGTCCTAACCAGAGAAGCCGACTAATCTGAATTCGATGGGACAACGAAGTCTCCATTGGATCATTAACAAATACGCGACAACTCACCTCAGAGTTGCTTACAAGCTTGCTCCATCCAACCCGCGCCGAACTGCGTAAACATCTGCAATCGAATACTTCAAGACGACTAATATCTTCCACGGGCAAATTTAGGGTCTCGCAACAATAGAGCAGAACTGGCAGAACATCGCATCTACACCAAAGGTGTTTTAATCCTACGCAAGCTGCTCGAGCCTTGGAAATGCGGGCGGTTACCTCATTGACTATGCTACTGTCACTTGAAACGCAGCTACCTAGGTAGGTGGAACATTCCACTGCAGCTAATTCTTGACCATCAGGCATCAACGCTGGGGTAGACGACACCCAGTCTTGTGGCATCACTTTGCACTTTGAAGGTGCAAAGCGCATGCCGAAAGGAGATACAGTAATTCTTAGTCTGTCAAGAGCGCATTGCGCATCCTCCATAGATTCTAACAGGTATGCGATGTCATCAGCGTACTCTGAATCGCACAGCTATTCTCCAGCTGCCCATTTAATACCTACCTTCTGGAGACCAGTAAGTGCGTTCTCCAGTACTTCGTCTACGACGAAATTGAACAGGAGTGGCGAAATAGGGCACCCTTGACGGACACCGCTCCTGGTTTCGAACGATTTACCTAGCCCACCATAGACCCTTACGCTACCAGAAGTATGCAGATACAACGACCATAATAGGTTTACATACTTCCACAGCATTCCTTTGTGGAGCAGCAACCCCAGAGCTTCACGGTCAACTGAATCGGAGGCTCCTTCTAGGTCAAGGAACACTGCGATTGTTGGCCGACGATGTGTGTGATGCAGTTCGAAGACTTGATGCAGAGTGAAAATTTGGTCAATGCACCCGCGACCTGGTCGGAATTCGCGAATATTCCTCTCCCTTAAGGGTATCAGGCGGCGAAGTATCACAGAAGTCAACACTTTTGTGATTATCGGAACCAAACTAATCCCACGGTGGTTAGCGTGGTCGTTGCGTGATCCCTTCTTGAAAAAAGGGACGATCATCGATTCACCCCAGGACAAAGGGGTACGCTCCTCCGTCCAAATGCTGCCAAGTAAGCCAGTAATTTAGTCAACAAGAGAATCTCCGCCCACCTTGAAAAGAATATGGAGAAGCCCATCAGGTCCCGCAGCCTTTCCTTTCTTTTATGATTGAATGCAGCTTAATACTTCCGATTCTAATTGGGGATCGCATGTTACCACCCATGGAGTTTCCGCCGCGATTGCTGGAATCACCACATTAGCACTAGGCCAAATGAACCGTTCACTAAAATACTCTGCCCAGCGATCAAGTCGTTGTTCTTAATTGTGGATACTCTGTCCAATTTTATCGCAAATGGCCTCACTGACCGGTGTGCGACGACCTTCGGAGCTGCGTATCAGGTGAAACAGTCTTTGACTATTCCCTGATGCAGAAGTTACCTCCATTTCACTAGCTATTTCGGCACATCAATTTTCACGATCTTTCTTAAGGTTATTTCTTAGTTGACGTTGCAGACGACACCAGTCCTTATGCTGATCCTGACAGGTTGGGATCTTTCACTTTTAACCCATTAGGGTTACTGACTCATGAGAGATCCAATGTCTTCTGCTCAGTCCCACAAGCAAAGTTTGCTGCTGATTGCATCGCATATCTAATCTGATTCCACTGTTGGTTTACTCCATTATGTCGCGGTTCTCCTAGCTCCTGTCACAGCTTCTCCCCATAACGTGCGCGGGCAGCTGGATCGCGCAGACGATGGTGAGCTAACTGAAGAGGCAATTTTCACCGATGACCGATGAGTCAAATAGTGAAGCGTAACAGAACTAGTGCCTGGTCCGACTCAACGCAGGTGGTCCAATAGGATTTGCAATTTTGTACTGAACCACGCCAACGGTAGCTTACAGCTACGTGGTCAATTTGGGTCAATTTTCCTGTTGAACTAAAACACCATGTAGCCGTTCGACNCGACGAGAGCTGTCGAACGTTGTTGCTAGATAAGAACAGCCGGTGATCCGCGCAGAACTGAAGTAGTCGATCACCGTTGTCTGTTCACTGGGCGGGAAGGGCGAAGTGTCCTCCTAGACAGGCTTCCGATGCGCTCAGTTTTCCAACCTGCGCGTTAAAATCCCCTGCCAGCACTATAATATCAGAGTTGCGGCTCAACTGAATCAGATCGGCGAGTTTGTCGTAAAATTCGTCCTTTTGTGAAGCGAGACTGCAGTTGGTTGGTGCATACGCCGAAATGATGAACAAATAACTTCCAAACATTAACTGATCCATGTAGCCTCATTGCGCAAAGAAGATTATTGACGGGTATCCAATCTATCATAGAGACTTCAGCTTTATCGTTTAGTACGATACCTACACCACGCTGACCCAGTGAGCGAGCTGCGTCGTCTCCTGATGTGCGGAGGAAATACTTCGAGGACAGACCCGGCGCACTCAGGTGGCTTATAATATTAGG